CCACTCATTCTCTCTCTCTCATATCTATCACTAAATCTATCTATCTATCTATCTATCTATCTATCTATCTATCTATCTATCTATCTATCTATCTATCTAAAGTTTTATCTAATTTAAACAAATGTAAATTAATAATTGACAATAATTGATAATCTGCTTGAGCAGCGGGTTGGACTAGATCAGCGGTCACCAATTGGTGGTCCATGAGAAACTTTTGGTGGTCCGCAGAAAAATTATCTGCATTTTTTATATTGCACTAAATGAGGGGTCTTCAAACTATGCCCCTTGGACGCATACGTACAATGAACATTTGTGTTGCTGCAGAGAGTCTCCCACTTTGGGGGTTTTTTGTGTGGGTCGGAGGGGGGCAGAAATTCCGACTTGGGGTCTGCTTCACCCTCCTGGTGAGGGGCTTTGGGCGAAGGCTGGAGGGAAGCATCGCTGGTGGCCAGGAGCTGGAGGGCCTTGTTCCAGTGAGGCTGCATCATGGCCTGGAACTGGCTGACCTTCTCAGTTCCCTGAGCCTCTCCAGGTGCTGGTACCTGGCCTTGCATTCCCATTGCTTGGAAAGCCTATGCTGGTAGTCCTCAGTGAGGTGCTTTGCTGAGTCTCCTTCTTGGTCAGATCTAATTTGAACTGAGCTGTTTTGTCAACTTTTTCTCATGGTGGCTGCTTAGCTCCAGCAACTGCTTCCTGTTGGGGCCCTAAGGAGCCAGGACGGGCAGGCGAGGAGTGGCTGGGAGTGGAGGGGCAAGTAGAGACCTGTGAGACGCCCCTTGACGTGAGTGACATCGAGTTGGCTATGCCCACCCAGTCACATGACCATCTAGCAACATCCACCCACCTGGTCATTAGGCAGATCATATTAGTGGTCTGCGGGATTTAAAATTATGAATTTAGTGGTCCCCGAGGTCCGAAGGGTTGGGACCCCTGGACTAGAATTGAATTGAATTGAGTTTATTAGATTTATAGGCCGCCTAATCCTGGAGGACTCCAGGTGGCTTAAACAGAACAAGAAAGAAGACAAACAAAATAAAAATAAGAAAATTTAAAAATTCTCCAACACGCATACGTTCTGATTGGGGCTGGACCCTACATAGTAAGGTCAACAGCCCCAGGCCTGCCAGAACAGCCAGGTCTTAACAGCTTTTCTGAAGACCTCCAAAGTCCCTTTCAACTATTATTCTGTTTTGTATTTTTTATCAGTTATTAAAATTATCACAGGGCAACACTGGGCAGCCTGATATTGAGGTGGTAGCAATGTTCTTTTTTTCCAGTTTAGGAAGAAATTCTTGTTTTTCTTCACGCTGTGGTATTTTTATGATGTGTACGTATGTGTATACAGGTAACCCTTGATTTATGACCCCAATTGCACCCAATTGTTCTGTTCCTAAGCAAGACCGTTGTTGAGCAAGTTTTGCCCCGTTTTACAATCTTTCTTTACACAGTCATTAAGTGGATCATTACAGTTAAGTTAGTAATCATGGTTGTTAAGCGAATCTCGATTCCACATTGACTTTAGTTCTCGGAAGCTTGGAAAAGGTGATCACATCTGGAAGACTTCAACCGTCATAAATATGAGCCAGTTACCAAGCATCTAAATTTTGATCACGTGACCATGGGAATGTTGTAAGTGTGGAAAACTTGCATGAGTCGCTTTTTTCAGTGCTGTTATAATGTTTAAACGGTCACTAAACAAATGATTGTAAGTCAAGGACTACCTGTATATTGAATTTACCTAGAATTGTTACAGGAGTCTGATTAGAAAATGCACATAA